TAATATTGATGTCAAAGATGCACGTCGCTCTGGTCGCCCCTCTTACGGATAAAATGGATGCCATGAGTGAAAAAGTGGAGTAAGATCGGCGTACAGGGAAAGTGAGAATAAGATGAGTAGGTATCCATACACTAAACTCTTCTTAACTGACGGAAGGTACGTTGCGTACCATTGGTACAGAAGGTCAGAACTGACATATGACACGGCATTCAACTTTGCATACCTGCTGATCCGTTGCGTACTAACACATAGTTCCGTAAAACTCTTGACTGATCTTTCATCTGGCTTAATATTTGCAGCGGGCTTAATAATGGTTTTATTATTTACGACCTGTTTCTTTATTAATACAAAAAGTTAAAAAAAAACTTAAATAACAACTGCTCAAGGGAATTAAAAACTGTTTCTTTTCTTCTCCAAACTGCTGCATGTCATTCAAGATCATCTAAGAAATCATATTAATATTTTTTAAATAATGTACAGAAACATTATTATAAAAAAAATAATACGATTTCTTTGTATATTAAATAATGAATTTAGGTGGTGATTTTTAAATGTGAATGATTTAATTCTGATAATAACACTCATAAATATTATTTATTCTTAGTTGGTTTTGTTTCAAATGCTTTCACTTTACTAATTATTATCCACCTTTCAAACTCATTTGTTTGATACCTGCTTTAGAATAACTACAGCCACAAGGATTATGCGTGTTATTTTATTTATCGCGTCGATATGTTAAGTTCAATTAAATGAAATTTGCTAATAATAATTTGCCGATGAAATCTCGATTGGGATTGGGAGTGATATAAAGAGTTTCCACTCCAGTCTCATTATTTTGTAAGCAAATAATAATTAGGTAAATATCTTTATTGTTAAAAGAGCGATTATATTATTATTGCTAAAATTTTCATTTTCTCTTAAGAGAGATAAAAAAAATACAAATTATGCCTCATGTACCGAATCGTCAAGTAAACCAAATGTTTTCCACAAAAAAAAACAAACTTCAAATATAAAAAGGTGACATTAGTATTGATTAATGAAATAAAACGTCTAATAGATATTGTTAAATGTATATATCAAAGAGACCTAATATTGTACCCCTCGGCTCAACGGCGTTCTCTAATTTGATTTCCTCTGAGACGCTTTGAAACGCTGCGCTGAGTTTCTCCAATTCAAGTTTATTATTTGCAAACAACCACTCCTTTTTAAGCACAATCAAAGCTAAAAACCTTTAAGAAATACTGCCATTAATATAGTTGTCACTCTATAGTAAAAGAATAAAATGTCATTGTGTGATATAAATTATTATTAATGACGACTCACTTAGAAGTCAAGGGAATTATGCAGTACTTTAACAATAATCTTAATAGATTGCGAGTTTCTGAACATTATTTTTGAAACGTTAGACTTGTTAATATCTTACATTTCTTATACACAAATCGATGGTATTATAAAATGAGTTATTTCAACAAGACATGATATTTTTTTTACCTGAAAGAATTTGATGCAAATTAGTTTTGAAGTAAACAAATGAACAGTAAGATAAGTCTAGTAGTATTATTTTGAAAGCCATGATTAGTTGTTATTATACAACGGGAACTATATTAAAAAAACAGCGTGAAACGGAATAAACGGTCTTAATGTAATATGCTTTCAAAGAAACATTTTATGTGTATATTGTATTATATATAAAAAAAATGGCAGGAAAAAGGTCGCGATGTTAGGTCTATATTTACTAATATTATAAAGAGGAAAGATTTAATTGTTTATTTGTTCTCTTCGAATACCTGGACCGATTTTAAAAATTATTTTACCTATGGGTAGGTTCATCATACGCGGTTGACAATTTTGTTTATGGATGTGAATTATTTTACAACTGACATATTTTAACTTAAGATGCACAATTTTATGATGCACAAAGCACTATGGAAGCTTCATGATGAGTCAACAGAGTATAACGTGGGCATTATACGACTTCGATGATGGTTTGGTAGAGTGTCAGCTATGACAGCCATGCCATGTGAGCCATTTTTTTGTGAAAAGGCATCAAAACATTGGCACAAGTGTACTATGATACCATTCTCGAAAATGTAGTTAAGCCCCTTAATCATTTCATAGAAGCATAATATTAAAAGCTCTTCTGTGATTGGTCGGATCGTTCAAAATCTTACGAATATAATATATACGTATATTATATTCGTAAGATTATATAATATAATGGATACGTTAGTTTATTAATTTACCACGAGACATCGCTTATTTATAAATTTATGAAAAAGTGAACGTAAAATAATACAAATACTTTTAGAATCCAACGAAAGTTTATAAATTAGAGAGGAAATTTGTCAGTTATATGACACAGGTAGTTTCAATGCGATTCATTGGCGCATAACGCCATCTAGTAATGCGTAGACGAACCGCGCCACTGCTGAATATTAACGTATTAAACTAACATACTGTAATATTAATAAATGTTACGTTCAATAAAAAATGTTGATTTTCTTTATAACAATGTTTATGGCAAGACTATGTTTATATAAGTATATAATAACAATAAAAACAATAGATAAATAAAAAATTATAAATTTTTTAGAAGAAGAAAATGTGAATATTTAATACTTCATAGGTATACATATAAAAGCATGTGAGATAGTAAATCTTAGGCTTCACTTTACCAAAAAGACTACTAAGTTCGATAACGTCGCCGACATTTTGGAAATGTTAATATTGAAAATAAAATTAGTATTTCCTAGTCAATGACGATAATTAAAATAAAATCGTCATAATGATAATTAACATTATGTTTGGATTTGAGTGATACATAATCGAAATTTAAGATTAACGATGTAAGTATGTAATTCATCCTCTTGAATTTCTCTGTACGAGGGTGGTTTGAAAAGTTCTCGGTCTGACCATGATTTGAGGATAGTATGTAAACTAATTTATTGTCATTCGACAGCTCTATTCTCTATTTAATCGTATGTCAAGTGCCATTGTATTGAGACAAGGAGAGAATATGTAGAAAAATAAACACGATTTTATTTTCTTTGTTTTCTTGGTAGGACTTAGAACTTTTCAAACTAACCTCGTATATTGATGAAAAATACATTAAAATCCATTTTGCAGTTTCAAAGATCTCAGCGTACAGACAGCGGGAAGTCACATTGTTTTATATTATGTACAGTAAATAATTATGAGTATTATTGTATTTTTATTCAATATTTAAAAATTACCCCCCTAACAACACCGTCATGTTTCAAATGCACTTGGAACCCTTGCAGATTTTTTTAGCTATCAGTATATCGTTTGTCAATGTAATATATGAATACAAACAAAAACAATAACTAGAAAACTATATTCTGTGTATCTTTAAAATAAACTTACTGTACTATGGACGGTATTGAATTTAAAAAATACACACACAGCGAAGTGGTTTGGATAAATGCCAGCAGACGCTACGTGGACTACTGAATCGAGTCACCTTTCAGTTATAATTAATCATTTTATAAATTATTGTAGGTAATATGGTATTCTGTAGCGAACTCAATGAGCACGGTGCTATCACAGCATAGTGGTTTAACGACCAAAAACATTTCAGTCTTCACGCGTAAATCGGGGAATACACCAAACGAGCATCCCCTGGGCAAATCTGCAGACATGTCAAACCTTTTTACTGTAGATCTGTGTAATTGTAGCTACGGGCCTACATTAGACATACATGTTCGTCCAATAGTAACATATATGCAGAGATACCCGCGGGCATGCTCCTCTAATGAATTCCCCGCTTAAAGAAGACTTCAAACCTTCATCTCCTAAATACCATTATATTGGTCTCTTTGAAAGTTTAGGAATTTATTTTGAAATTGGTTAAGGGTTTATTGCTCATACTTTTAACTAGGTTTCGTTAATTCATAAAGCATCTTTGTACTTTAGGATTTTTTTTTATTTTTTTATTTATTGTACTTTTTTAAAGAAACTTTATAATTAGTGACTGTTGATAGTAAATAAATAATGCATATAGTTAAGACCCTTACAACAAGTGCTTACATTTGATATTACACACGGTACAGTTTATAAAAAAAAACCTTAATTTACCCCCATATATCGTGATAATGAAGTTTATGTGTCTAGGTTTGAAGATTATTATTGATTACGTTCCAAATCCGTTTTTATGTTTTTAAAATTTTTTGTTCACTATCAATTTTCTATTAGTAATTTGGTTTTTGCCCTCTTTTCAGACTTCTAGTACGAGTAGTATTGCGTCACCGTTCGATGGTCCGCAGCTTAATATATTTACTCAACTCTTTAGACGTGCTCTGGTCTGCTCGACAGGGATGAGAGTCCACCCCTCCACAAATAGCTTACCCATTTAAATTTATTCGACTTCATTTATTCTAACATATTTCTTTTTTTTCATTTTTGCACTTTATTATCAGCCAATAGTGATTTTATAAACAATTTAATTTCACTGATCATTAGAATAGTACCTACACGGGGTTGGCGAATTAATTTGTAATAAATCATGAAATAATCCGTACATTTTATAAATCAAATGAGGCACTCGATAGCGTAATGGATAGTGCGCTTGATCTACGATACAGTTGTTATGCAACTTTGTATGTGTCGATTAGGATGGGTGAACAAAAATTTATCTATCGCAAGCTTCTCCTTTTTCACCTTTTGTCACCTTTTGTTGACGTTGGCTGATAGAAAATTGTATTTAAAAAATTTTAAATTTGAAAAATATATTATAAAAAAAACAGAAAATCCATTCAATGTTCTAAATATATCCAAAGTCCAAGTATATTATGGGATAAAGTATTCATTCAATCATGCATGTTCATAACGTTAGAAGACAATTTTATGAATGAAAACCGAACATTTATATCGTAACTGTATCGGACAAGCATGTCAAATAACTCGGCCACTAGGTTATATTTGAAGTTACACACGATAGTGGTTAGTCAAATAGTAGTAAAATTTATGAAGGACTACCCTTGATGCATCAAGTTCAACGCATCGGGGATGTATTTATTGGTCGAGAATCGCGCGAGCGTACGGAGGGTTGCACCGGTGCGCATGCGTCCGACATCACCCACTCATCTGGTTATTCCCGTGGTCGATACAATTGCGGGGTGAATGTCGCGCATGCGGCACCCCTTTACGGCCGACGGTCAGGTGTAAACGACATGGCCGACAGCGAATTTGAAGAATTTCGTCGTGTGTTCGACAGATTACCTCAACACATTAAAGCCCCGACACCATTTTATTCGTGAGTAATTACATTTTGCCTTTTTTTTGTGCCGAAACACCCCTCTGGTTGATATACAAAACAAATGGTTGAACCGTCCTTTTGTCACGTGAACGTCGACTTTTGCATATTAAATACTTTCCAACGGGAGAGTTGGAATCTATATTTTAATATTCAATATTATCATGTAATATTCTCCCTTATTCTCCCTTTGTAACAGATTAGTGCCAAATGTGGGTTTGGACGATGAATCACCGTCGTCGAAAAGTGATGGCTCGCCAGAAAATGATAGAGGTTGTATTGGAGATGTTGAAGGAGCAACGGCTCAAGAAGAGAGCGTATCACCACCACCTCAGCTCGACATAAGCGACACACAACGCAGTCCCAGTCATAACACATTCACAAACGGTCAAAGGAGAAGACGAAAACTACCAGAGATACCAAAAGATAAAAAATGTATGTATTATTATTTGAATATTGTTAAAAACTCTAATGTATTAAATATTTTGACTATCGACGTTTAAGATCTTAAACCGATAGTTAACGATTCCTACCTCCAGAGTTCTTTTTATAAACTGCAACTGCGCTTTAGCGATTTTCAATATAACAGTTAGCTGGCACCGTACAAAGCGAAGGTCATTATTTTTGATTTCTTTTTTAAGACTTGATCTCCTATTTTATTTGTTATTTCATATTATTATTAAACTTTACGCTTTTGAAATATTTGTTTCACGTTTGTGTCGTTTCAAATGTACTGTTCTATAAGTATATAATAATAATTTTAAATAGAAATATGATTTAATTATATGTAGTACAAAAAATTTCCATTACTAATTTAAAATCACGATTTCTGTTACTCAAATAATCGTGAAATAGTTACTGACTATTAACTCATAATCTTACACTTACAATTATAATAGTACCGACGTAAAGTCAACGAGATAATATTATTAATAAAAAATTTATCTGCATATTATCATAGGAAAATATGCTACCGAGAATATCACACATGACAATCCAGCGTTACCTTAAAATGATAGATCACGTTTTTCACTAACAATTTAATTGTTTGTACCGTTATTGTTTTATTTTAATATCAGAAATAAGATTTCTTTTAACTTTGAAGCATTTTATCTGAGCCGAAGTTAGTTTTATATTCTTGTCATTTTGGATATCCTGTACACAGCTTCTTTTATCAAGCTCTCTACTTTAATTAAAATAAAATAATACTTTTTGATAAATCTTAGATAAATTCTTATAACAATTATAAGATAAAATACGCTACGTTATAACGTAATACACTGTACATTTCGAATCCAAGATAGTGTTAAATAAAAAAAAAAATATTGTTGCATGTAACTTGGGATACAAATGCCACTATCACCTTTTAATCAAAAATTATTTTGTGAATATTTCTTGAAGTAATTCTTCACGTCTTTCAGCTACGATATTAGCATGCAGTCAGCCAGCTTCGCTCGCTGATGAGTTAGGTGCTCTGGCTGGAGTACTAATCCGACCCAGTTGCCATGGGCGACCACTTCTAGTGCTCAAATGTGGCTATCTCTTAGACGAGGATTCAAGTCCAGACTCGGAAAGGCTACAAAGTTTGGGAGATGTTGACAGTGGTCACAGTACAGCGCACTCGCCCATTGATACGGGACCGAAGAGTTTATCACCAACACCGTTACAGCAAAATGGTACGCTACGTTCACAATGTATTTTGAAATAAAAAAAAAATGAATAACGCTGACCGTTATAATACTTGTTATTTGATCAAAACCGGTAAACCATTTATCATTCCTTACATTTAATTATTTGTCTTAGATAAAGAGCAGTACCTATATGTAATGTTCAGCTCTATATTTTAATATTCATAATAGTATTAAGATTCATTACCTTTTCAATCCTTAATGAGGCTGTTACTAATACTACATCTCAACACTAAAGGTGCATATGATAGTATAAATAAATTATTTGCAATTTTTTACAGTATCCCCTTCATCAAGCTGCAGCATTAGCGGTATCAATTTTGCTGGTAATATGTCAACAGTTCCCCATAGTCAACTTGAAATGCTAGAAGCTACTCATAGAGGTCTACACAAGTTTAATCCTAGACACCATGATGAAATAGAAATTGAAATAGGTGATCCTATATATGTACAAAAGGAAGCTGATGACTTATGGTGTGAAGGTACAAATAACAATCAATTTATTTAAAGGTGACGGTAGTCCAATATGACGATTAAGCAATAAAAACAAGGGTGGAGTATCGAGAGTTATTATTTTCTAGAAACATCATACACGATATAGTTGTGTAGGCCCAGAATGAATTTTGACCTATATTTAGTTTTTCATCGGTGTAGTAAGCTCGAAAAAGGAGTTAACCTAAATAATATTTAATTTATTATTTTGAAATGATTTAAGTTTATAAGCAAAGCAAATCTGGTAAACTAAATTTCACTTATTAGATGTCTTAGAAATAAAAATATTTTTGGACACCTTTTTAGGAGTGAATCTTAGGACAGGTCAGCAAGGAATATTTCCATCAGCATACGCCGTTGATATGGATTATAATGATTTTGATCCAGCAAATGCCAAAGTTAAACGAGAACGATATTTACTAGGGTAAGTATAAGTAAATCGATCGAAAAAAAATTAACAAGGTTATTTAATAACAATTATGGAAATGCATTAAAAGAAGTGAAGAATATAGCATAAAAGGTAAGTCCTTATAAAACGTCACCAGATATATAAACCATTTGTTTTTCAGATACATGGGTTCAGTAGAAACTTTGGCTCACAAAGGAACTGGTGTTGTTTGTCAAGCTGTGAAAAAAATAGTTGGAGAATGCAGCGGAGATCCAACATTACAGCCTTGCATATTGGAAGTATCGGATCAAGGGCTACGTATGGTCGATCGATCAAAAGCCGACGTGAGTGTCGACATTACATTTGATATTATCAGTTTTTTTAGTTATATTCTTAATGAAAAATGCTCAAAAAACACTTTGTCCCTGGTATTCTGAGATGGGATTCGAACCCATGACCTTTCGCAATCCGTGCGACTCTAAACATAGGGCTACCCAGGACCTAATAGGGATTCCGAAAGGTTGTGGGTTCGACTCCTATCTCAGTGTACCTGGGGTAAGTAGATTTTTAAGCAATTTTATTTAGAATATTTTTGTATCGCATTTAAAAATGCAGTAAAATGTTAGTTAGATGTACTGTATAATGGAATTGTATTGACTAATATTGTTTATTTTACAGAGGACTCGAAGCGCCCCTTGTATCGACTACTTCTATTCTCTAAAAAATGTTTCATTTTGCGCTTTTCACCCAAGAGATCATCGATATTTAGGCTTTATCACAAAACACCCAACGTTGCAACGGTTCGCTTGCCATGTTTTCAGAGGTCATGAATCTACAAGACCCGTCGCTGAAGCTGTGGGGTAAGTAGATTTATTTCTAACGATAACAATTAAAAGGATTAAGCTGAGGATTAAGCCACGCGTCAATACCTCTTTGGGCGACGAAATTTGACAATAGGGATAGTGATTATTTTTTTTTTTTGTTTTTTTTATCCGTCAGGTAGATCGTTGTAAAATATTCCTATTTTTAATAATTTTCCTCGGTCAAAGTTCAGCGTTATAATTCTAATAGGAACATGATACAACCCATCGATCTTTTAACATTTCTTTATAGTTTTAGTCAAATTGCATTATAAGAGAGACGCAAGACTGGATTCGAAATATCTATTTGATTTTACTTTGTGTTTTAAGTCTATAGATGTGATAGATTAATAATGCTAAGATTCTATTTTTGTGAAATTATTAACACGGCTTACTGCGACATGGTTTAAAGTGAACTTTCAGGTGGTGCATCATTAGGTGTATGTGTATAGCTCACATGTATTTATTATGATCTTTTCTCTGTGATGTCAAATATTGTAAATTACTATTGAATTTTTTTTATTTTTTTTTAAGCGATATTCATTAAAAATATTTATCAGTATAGTATTGTGAATACAAAATTGATCCAATATATTCAGTTATTTAGTTTTATTTTTAAGGTCAAATTTCAAACAACTGAAATCTAATGGCACTTTCTTGGCTATTTGGTTCACAAAATGAGAAAGATTTATGGGTTTATTTTAATTTTAAAATTAAATAGTCATACGAAACATAAAGTTAATCGTAAGTGTAAGTAAATTGGAGTAAGCTAATTATTTTTTTATTATAGCTAGACTCTTTGTGGTTCTTCAAAAATGATCATATTAGACAGATATATAAACAAGTAGGCGCTTGTACACATTTTAGAGAATATAAAACGCAAACTAACGATTTTTAATTCAAATAAAGGTTACACTAGTTTATTTATTGCTGTTTAACAAAAAAAATCACCAAATGAGCTTTGCACCAGGACAAAAAATTATTTTGTTCCGCGCGCTGGGCAAAAGTTTTATATGAGTCACTATGACCAAATGTCGCAGTGAGCGTGTCAATGTGTTTTTTTTTAATTATAAGGTAATTTTTATATGTCTTTTCAGACGAGCATTCCAAAGGTTTTATCAAAAATTTATAGAAACAGCGTATCCAATCGAAGATATTTATATAGAATAATGTACGGCAATCATCTTCGAGAGTACAACAATACTCTGACAACAGGCCTTCTTAAAATTCATCTGAGTATGTGATTTATTATATTATTTTCAAAGAGCCGGCACGAAATAATAGATATATTTATATAAATATTTGATGCTCGCTCTTGTTTATCATAATTGTGATGAGTGTAAAGTGAGAATTGTATATTTTTTTAAATATATAAAGTTTTCCTTTGTCCTACATTTATTTATTTTTTTAATATATCAAATTATTTTTAATATTATTAGTGTTAAAAATATATATTTTTTGGGTTATTGTTTCAAATTTTTTATATGTTTCAATATATCATTGAGTTGGATGGTTTCACATAATTGCATTGTATATATATATAACTATTTATTTTTTTAAATAACAAGATCAAAATAAGATAATATAAGTGGTATTCGTGAAAAACTAAGAATAACTGACAAATTATCGTACATATTATATTTGTCTAAAAACCGATGATAACAATGGAACTTATATCAAGGAATAGTTATAAGATTAGTATGATAAAAGCGAAAACAAAATTTTTTCAGACCCTGTACTCTTAATGTGAACGTCTACTGTGTACGTACGAACGTAACGCATGCAATGGATTGTACGAATTTGTCAATGTTTACTACATCCGACTTCTTTATACAAGTACTATTTAACAGTTTTGTATCACACTGTGAAGTATTTCTTTATTTGCTCATATAATGCGGTCGGTGCGGCCGGTACGGATAGTGGACGGAGTGCTATACAAAATTTAAATAAAGCTACGGAAAATCCGTTGCTTACCGTTAGTCTGTTGCGTGCATAGGACACAGTGGATGTTTACATTCAAAATTAAAATTAGATGTATTGTGTCCTGATCTAACCGACTATTTTTATTGTCATAGAGCAAGATATGTTTGATAATATATGTTAAATTGGTTTTCAGAGTAAATTATAGGCAACGTTCATTTTGAATACAATTATTTTATTTAGACTGAGTAGTGTTGTAAAACCGAATTGTTGAGATAAATTAAAAAATATAAGCATTTAGCGAATTCGGTAAAATCCTTTGCGTGCGTATGGACACAGTAGTTGCTCACCTTTAGGCGCTATCAATTTATTACGTAAAATGATTTAACGAACAAAGGGGGACTGACCACATAATATTCTTCTTGCTTACTAGGGGGACACAGTCTTGATAAATCTTTCATAAGAACACAAAAACCAGCTAATAAATGCATCAACAAAAATATAAAAGAAAAATGCAAACTTAAAATAATTTCCGCTCCTTTATTTAATAAAGAGAGAGTCGCCGATCCATTCTCTTCAAATTGATCAAATTGATGGTGACTTTTAACAAAAACATTTATGGTAACATAACGATTATCTAAGGGCAATAACTAGCTTATAATACCTTTACCTAGCTACCTCTTCTATAAACATGCATCGTTCTATGAAATTTTGTGATATAATTGTTGGCTTTATTTCTCTGAAGATATAAATTTACATTTTAGTTTTCTAGAAGCTAGATCTCCGCTCAAAATGTGTTACCTATCTAACTGTAAATAACATTGAATTGGAATATGTCTTCATCGTCAATATTAGGCAACATTCGCCATTTCAATTCATGATTGAAATGAAATCATAAAATATGTATTTAAGTATATATAATGTAAAAATAAATTTGTATACTCACAAAATATCATTACCTACGTATTTTGAGCCTTGGTGTTATATTAAAAATATAATAACATTAATATTTAAGCAAAAAAAAATGTAATATCATATGCAATGCCTCTCTTATAAGTTTATTTAATTGTACTCGTTGCCGATTGGCTCACTGTACAGTAATATGAGACATTCAAACTTGAAAGCTTTATTTTTTTTTTCTTTTAAATTACAGTATAAACGAGTACATTTTCGTAAACTTGTGATGGAATATGAAATTGTTATATTAAGACATAAGACAACAGCAAAATTGTTTTAAATGAACTAAAATTAAGGTGCATTTCGTTACAATAATCATATAATTATAGAGCAAAAGTAATAGAAATGGAAATTGTGATGTCCAGCAATTAAATTTTGTATTACTTTTATAGAATCCTTTGAAGGATAGATATTCAGATGTTAAAATTGTTATCAAGTCGTTGTTGGTGTATCTGTAGTTAATATCTACCAATTGGATGTTCTATTTTCCTATCGTATGTAATTAGAGAAACATCCCATCTTTCCTCAAATAACATTTGTTTAAACTTAAATTATGTTTTGTCAATTTCTTATGAACTGTCAATTTATAACTTAATAATGAAGTCACTTACAAAGATATCAGATAAAGCGTTTACAGTAACATTATCTTTGCGATTAGGACATCTATTAGTTAATTATGACACTAATATTATTTGTATACTGTTTCTCTTGTACTATATCACATTATTATGTCGAATTATCTACGATTCAAAGTTACGAAAGTAAACTTCAAATAAAATTCTGGCGGAAAAAGCTTTCCTTGGGTGTATATATAATACCAAGTGTACGAAAATAACTAGGTACAAACGTTGGAGCGCAAGTAAATCTATAATATAATATTATCGAGTGTCATTGAAAAACTCTGAAACTACTGAACCAATTACATATGTTACAATTTGATTAAACTTAAAAGATATGATAGTTTTCATCTCAATTATATAATTCTATGAGACCAGGAACGCTTGGTTGGGACAGTTAGTAAGCTTGTACATATTGAATGTTTTACCAAGTAAAAAAGAAGACGCAGAAAAAAACATGAACGCAAGACCAGTTTGAATGGAGTATTTGGAAAGTAGCAATAAAAATTAATTGTAGAGTACCGCAATGAATGCATTAAATATTTATTGCCTTTTGAAGTAGGTTTTATTTGATCAAGCTTCTAACGCTGTAATCTGCCATATATTCCACGCTGTGTTCGACGCGGCATATGTAACCTAATATAAGATTTGCGTTTTGAACAATAAGTAATAATAATAACGTTAATACGGTAGTATCAACTAACATTTATTTACATAAATGTAGATAATGTAGATAATATGCATATTATAACTTAATCTTTAATCTGTAAAGATTAAGTTATAATATGCATATTATCTATATTATTATTGATTTTCTTTTGTCATTGTTTTAATTACATTCTTTAATCGGTACGCCTGCTTTAGTCTTTTAACTTGTGTTGTTTTATGGGTTTCGTTACAGTATTTTGCTTATGGCGCCAAGTTTTATTGAGCCGGTGTTGTAAAAGTGTTCTACAAAACCTTTATGCTAACAAAATTAACATTTTTGATTTAAAGTCTATTACGATATAATGAATTGAATCATATTATTTATTTTTCTTTCGAAAGGTTTTAAAATAAATAATAAAGTAGCAATTTATTTGTGGTGAAGATGAGTTTATTAGTAATTTTATTGATTACGTATGGACATTGTGTTTATATTCAAACTTATGAACCGTAAATACATTCATTCTCAAAAGGTGATGGATTAAGTATTTGTTAAAAAGTTCCAGTGTCATTTTATATGATTGTCCATAGATGACGCTAACATTCAAAATACGAAAATGAACATTTTGATTTATAGGTAATATATTTTGTAATTATACAGGAATATTATTTAAATTTATAAATACTATTTATTTTAGTCAAAAAGTGATCTTAAAAACTGAAACCATATTTGATTTAAATAAAGGAATGAATTAACTGAAACAAACGAAGTCCGTAAAATTGCATTAATATTATTGTTATAAGCGCAAAGCTTGACTCACCTTTTACTCACAATGTATTTATTCTATTTTATCTTATATGTATAAAATAGTCAAACATAATGTCACTATGACGTTTATAATTTTAAGAATAATCCAACATCAAAAACATCTTCGACGTAATAACGTGTCAGGGTCGGTGTACATCTAATGAAATGTGCGGCGCATTACGTCGATTTTCATTATGGTAAGTCAAAACTGACGAATATACGACATTCCACGTAATGGACGTCGCGTAAAAATACTTATATTCACGAGATGCTTGATTTATTTTCTGCAAGATCGTATAACTGACCCTTATATCAATTCTCCTCCACTGTGATATGAAATCATTAATAGAAGTCACATAAGTAGTACCATTTTTGTGATTAATCAAACTTCAACTTTATTTTGACAAATTAGTATTAAAAATCAATTTACTATGAATTTGTATTTATTAAAGTGATTAGTTACTAATACAGATGTAGCTAGTTATGTACAGAAAATTTATACCAGGCACAGCGATTTTACTGTATGTGTAGACAACAAGAGAGTAGATGTTAATGCTTTGCGATTCTCTATTCTATACTCTATTTCACTATAGCATTATGTAATTGCTATTTTGATAATTGTAAATAGGTTTTTTAATGATGTAATGGGACAAATTCGTATCGTAAAATAGCTGGTTCAAAAACTACGTATTTAAATTATTTAATTGCAAATGTTGATAAATGACAAAAAATAAGACTAATTTTTGAAGAATTTGAAGAATTATTAGAAAGCTACCCAAGTTTTCTTGAAATAGTCTAATTCCTATTACTTTTGTTCTCATATTTGGCTGATTATTCAATCAGAATCGAAGCTACAGTTAAACATTTTTATTGGTATTGGGACGACACGACGATATGAGTATGTCCTATCCAAAATTTTGTAAATAAAGAAAACAATAATATATGTAAAATTTGCACATACTCGGAGGAGAAAGGTATTCGACAAAGCTGAATGGAGCTGTGAATGAAACGTTAACTAAATATAATTATTTATTTTTCCAGTATTAGTCAGCATACTCGACATAATCGCATAAGCATAAATATAATATGTGGACTGAAATGATTGTTTTATTTATCACCTCATTTTAACAATAAAGGCTTCGATTTTTTTCTCGTACAAGCTCTTCTGGGAATAAAAAATGAGCTTGTACGAGAAGAGCTTAACTAACGAAGGAGCGTTTCGT